CACTGGATTCTAGACGGTAGAGAATTTTAGTCTGATGTGGCCGAGTTAGGAGGCGCATATGTAAGAGAAGACTACATTGAGAGTGTCGGCAAGCTATCCGTGGTGGCTTTGAACTTTTTTGACTCAAGGGATAACTTGCTCTTCTCGGTAACTGAAAATCAGGATGCACTGTGGTCGTTATGGCAGCCTTGCTCAGGTGAGATCCTAGGCACCCTTAAAGAATTATGTTACCTGTGAATTGGGGATCAGGTCATGTCTGATGGGCGCAGACGGACTGGCACTGGCAAAATCATAACCAGCAAGATAACGAGCCTATAGTGCAGTGGGTGAAAGCATTTGATTATTAATCAGTTTGGGCCTCGGATGGTGCACCACCTGGGTTTGGGTATGGCTAGCTGATGACTGCTAACAAGCCAGAAATGTCCTTCTAGCCTTCGCAGTCTGACCGCTCCCCCCCCCCATCCGGCAGGCCAGGGCATTAGGTGAATTCGCACTGAATTTAAGAGAAAGTAAGGATAACGTTGAGGTTATGGTCAGAGTGTCAGACAGGCAAAAAGAAATGGGTTTGGAAGGAAAAAAAGGGGAATCCGCAAGTTACGATACAGTGCAGCTGGGGGAAGCGGAACTTGGAAAAGGCATGAGTTGAAGAACTCTAGGCCCACTCATCCGGAGAGCTTAAAAAGAGCGGGTGAAGAAAATACCGGACGGAAGGGTTTGGGATTAACATGAATCCTATTTAAGGATAGGAGTCTTTCTGAAATGCAACTTGGACTGGGGAAGCGTTGGTGAAACTTCATCGGGTTGAACTATTCTGATGATGACGATGTTGATGTTGGGGTGGGGTGGGGAATGAGAAGACATTCCACAGTGCCGAGTCTGGCCATACACATCACAATATTGACCTGCTATTCTTACTTCACTCCTTCTCATCATTGGTCGTCTGCTTACCCATTTCAGGCTATCCACACCGTGCACAAGGTGACTGCTCGGGAAATGTGTGAAGCCTTCTGGGACGTGCAGTATCGTCTGGATTGGGAGATCACCATCGACCACGCCCCGTCTGTGATCGAGATCTGCGGTGACAATACGGTTCTGCAATACCAGGTATGATAGAGACACCACCACTCATTCCTTCATTGACTCGAGTTCATTCATTTTTCTTCCCCCCCCTTTTGGACTCTACTGATTTCATGTGTGTGTCTTTCTCCTCTTACACAGGACTACAAGCGCATTTGGCCAGCGACCCAACGAGATGCCCTCTACTGGTCTCATATCCGTCGCCTCAGCTTGAAAGACTCCCCTGGCTCCCAACGGAAGAACCCCAGTGACGACATCGTCCTGGACAACTGGATGGTTTGCAACTACTCCACCAAGTACGGTGAGGACCGCCTCCCCACCTCGGCCTCTTCCTGCATTCGCCTCGGGGTGGACGTGGAACTGTTCTGTCAGACGGTGTGGACACCACCGGCCGAAATGCAGGCGGAGTTGGCCAGTCTTGACCTGACACAGCTCTCGGAGGCGGAGTTTGACGAGTTTGTGCGATCTCGTGTGAACCGGGAGGCGGTACGTTGTC